ACGTGACAGTGGTTTCTCCATGGCTTTTATGCTAAAGACAAACACATGTACACACCTATACGTGACAGTGGTTTCTCCATGGCTTTTATGCTAAAAACAAACTCCATACCACTGCCTACATGGCCCAGCCCAGTTAACCAGTTCCTTCTCAGCTCCCGTGGGCCTTCAGTTCCATGAGTGAACCATACTCTTTCCTGACACAGGAAATGGTTAGGAGAGAACCCCAAAACTAACAACGCCCCCAACCCACCACATGCATACCAGGTACATACCTGAATTCTGGAAGGTGGCTGTCAAAATGCACATTGCTATCATAGTAGACCTCCATTTCTCCATTAACAGCAACAACTTTCACCTGGAAGGCATTTTAAAGACGCATTTTCCTCCATTTCCATATAGGTATAGAGCACTAATGACACCAAGTGAAGCCCAGGTCCCCAGGAGTAGCTCAGACCGAAGTCCTTGGAAGGCAGGGTGCATCATTGTAACCAAGCCAACAGAGGTCTCATCTGGGATATGCACAAAGACTTTGGTAAAATGAGGAAGCTCAGGCTAAGGAGAAACGACACCCCAAACACCCTTCAGACAAGCTGGCTCCTGTACCAAAAACAACCCAAACCAAACAAATTATTTAGCCCAATTCATAGCAGCCCTATAGGACATAGGGTCCCCAACTTATTTGGCTTACTGCCCCCATTTCAGGGGGAAAAAACACAAACAACTCAGCACCCACTACCCCCATGCCATTAGAACTTTTATACCACGGCCCACAGTCTTGGAAAACGTGCTGGCCACCTGGATTTTTCCACGGCTCCCCGGGGCAGTACTGCCCAATTTGGGGACCATTGTTATAAGAGAGTAGAACTGCCTATAGAGTTTCCAAGGCTAAAATCTTTATGGGAATGGACGCCACCTCCCCCTCCTGTGGAGCAGCTGCTGGGTTTGATAAGCAATGGAAAGTGTGAGCTAACCACTACACCACCAGGGCTCCTTAAGCTGGCCCAAGAAAGTCAAGAAAGAAGGCAGGCAGGGTTTGGAGCCATCCTGGGGGGATGCTCCACACTTGCAGTAACCGAAGGGGCTAGGCAGCACAGGCTCCCATCCAGGTCCAGAGACACATCATGTGTAGCTCCTTTCCTGAACAGATGGGGAAGCTGAGGTGTAATGAGGCAAGTCAATTTGTATCGGAAAGAAACTTCTGGCCCGGGGCTGCCTCACATAACTCACCTCAGGTGACTCTCAAATGCAATAGGGTCTCTCTCTAGCGTACTTTTCATGAAGCCTTGGTGGTGTAGTGCTTAGTGTCAGGCAGCTAATTTGCAAGGCCAGCAGTTGGTACACCGCCCTCGGACCCCCGCCCCACCGGCCCGGACCCCCGGCCAATCCGAGAGAAAAAGACGGGTTTTCTACGCCCATACTGAGTTAGTCTTAAGACTGAATTGAAAAGAAGGCGCCCTAATAAACCCACCGGGCAGATACTGATACTTGATGTGCCTCTCTTGCTGGTGGGGTCTGGCAGAAATCCCGCGCCCTTCGACCGGGTCCACTGGGGACAACCCAAGGGTGTCACATGGAGCGCAAAGTCCATGTGTGCGCTGTGCCCACTGCACGTTCCACAAAACTTTGCAGGGGTGATCTGGTTCCAGGGCGCTGATTGGGCGCCTTCCTGGCCGGCTGCTGCCCAGCCGCGTGCGCGCTGTCCCGCGGGGGGCGCCCGACGTTTCCGGGCGGGCCTGGGTCCCGGTGCGGACGCCGTCGGCATCCTGCGGCGACACCGGCAGGGCCCCCGCTGCGAGCGCCGGGACGCCCCGGAAGCCCGGGAGACGCGCCGCGGCTCGGCCCAGCGTCCGGGCGCCCAGCTCCCCGCCAGCGCGCGCGGCGTCGCGAAGGAGGCGGCCTCACCCTGCAGCCCCCAGCGGCTCCGCGACGCTACCTGCTGCGTGCTGAAATCCCAGCCCAGGCAGTCGACGGGACAGCGGAACGGTTCGCGGAACTCCGCCTCCGAAACCTCCGACTCCTCCGAAACCTCCGAACCCTCCGACTCCTCTTCCATCGCTGCGGAAGAGAAGGTGCAGCTGAGCGCCCGCCGCCCTCTGCTCCCGGGGCAAGGCCCGCGGCGCTCCAGCG